TGGACTAGATGATCTGTAGAGATCCCTTCCAACCTTAAATATTCTGTGAATCTGTGAATCAAGGTACTTCAACCTTTCATGAGAACTATTCCAATGCTAATCTGCAAARCAAATATTAAGAGATACCCTATGGGGTTCACACCAATAATCCAGTTACATTTTCACACTATCATTTTAGATTTTTCAGATGCCCCAACCCCTCACCCTATCCCTATTTGCTACCATTAGAGCTTGATTTTCACACATAAAAGCAGCCTGTACKGGCTGATCAGGCTGTAGGAAAGTCACTTCCCTGACTCGTAAACTCAGTCACATATCACAGATATCAATTCCTCTTCCACTGGCTGTTATTTAAAAGTATTTCTTCCTTCAAAAGGATGAAGAAATGTTTTTTGCCTTCAGAGTTGAGAATTATGTCTTGCATTTTCKCCTGGCAGCCAAGGTGCCAGACTGTCCTTTTCCAGGGACACCGCTGTCCTGTCCAGCATGGGTCTGCAGTGGAAAAGGCTGGTTGCTTGTGGCTGTTGTTGCCCCCCTCAAATCTTCAAGGTTTACATTTTCCCGAGCATATGCTAATTTATAAATTAATAGAAACAATATAGATCAGAGAAGATTGCTCTATTCTCCTTCTCCATTTAAAGTTCTCTTCTTATTACTTTAAATAATGATTTGCTGAAGACATCAAAACCAAGGATGACAGAATAAGAAAGCTTCAACTTGTTTTTGTCAATTTACAAAGATAGTTTAAATCTGCATTTTAATAAGCATTTCTAATTCTTCTAGCTTCTTCAGCCTAATTCTTCCTGACAACACAGCAGCTAGTCTCCAAGATTATATTTATTCCTTATCTAGTTGAAGATGTCAGGGAATGGTATATCAGACAATGGGAGTTCTTGCTAAATTTAGATACTTTGGGACACACGTTCTTCAAGAGCAAGACATACGAAGGCTTAATTCTTCCCTTCTGCTAGCTCTGGAAACCCGGTTTCGGATTTTTGGTTCCTTCTCTGCAGAGGGAAGAGTCACACTTAGATAAGGGTGGGTAGAAGCAAACCCAATGCAGATGGTAGGTAATACATTTAACTATCCTTTCCATAACTTGCTGGTTTATGTTCTCCCCTGCAGCAGAAAAGGGTCTGTGTTTGTCCCCACTTACCTCCTTTAATTAAAGTTTAATATAGTTGACAGCACTTGAGAGTAGTTGTAGCTGAGACGCTTATRGTATGTCTTGGGTACAGGCAAATCTCTTACAAGAAACAAGCTTGGGAATTACAGTAATAGCTGCAGCAGATTTTCCTTTTTTGTGTAAACGGAAAAAGGTATATTAACATTATACATTCCAGATTATTCAGTTTGCTGCCTCATTCCCACACTCCATGACCACCATGTGAGCCTTCAAACTTCTATGTGCATTGTCAAAGATCAAACATTTTCTGCCTAAATGTTAAAAAAGTTAAAGCATGATCAAAAATCATTCCARAATGAATCTTAAGCAACTGGAGGGGCAGGGGAAGGAAACTGCTGTTGGCAATGTTTTTAAAAAAAACTTTTTAAAAATACGCAACATTAACAAAAACAAAGCTGTGATCTGATTCACCTTCTAGTTCTAACAAGCCTTTTATGTTTTTAACTTTTTGCAAGACACATTTTAAAATATGCAACATTAACAAAAACAAAGCTGTGATCTGATTCACTTTCCTGTGCTCACAAGTCTTTGAATCTATTTTTTTTCTTGGGTCAGAAAAATTTATTTTATCAACAAAGCAGAAACATGCAAAGTGCTACGTTTGCAGAGATGGGCATGATTATTATAGAAGAGCAGTCATACTCCTTCTTCAAAATATTCTTGCAAAGCTGAAATGAAACAAGCTGGATGCATTTCCTTATCTCCACCTTTTTGGTATCTGGAATATGAGCCAAAAAAAAAAAAAAAAAAAAAAAAAAAAAATCACAGCAGCTGCGATCCAGCTAAAATATTCAAAATAACCAAGAAGGAAAGTACATGATCAATTGTATAATCGACAAACTGCAACATGATTTGGTGCTCTCAAGATGATCTACCTGAGGGAATACAGTCTGCTTTCTGAAGATGAACGCTTTGTCACTTTTCCTGGTTACTTCTGAGGAGTTCCTTACTATTGCGCAAACAGTGGGCTTCCTTTATTGCTGACTGTCACAACACTCAGGACACAGAGAACTATATAAATGCCATACCTTAACACCCAAGGATACCTATCTGTATTCTTAGGCCCTGGACTGCAGCTTTGGAGGCACCACTGGAGACATATATAAGGACAAAGATATATGAAAGCTTATCAGTTTCTAGTAATTATTTTTGAAACTCTAGGCTACAAAAGCATCTGGAATGGCTCTGCGGGTGGCCATCTYATCAGAGAATAATTATTCCTTGTCCCCCAACAGCTTTGGTGAGAGATATTTGAGCTTAATTGCAAACTGAAAAGGAAAGCAGCATGCTCTGCACTTCGGCAGCACTTAGCACTGCGGGTATCATAAGAAACAGAAAGTCATCAAAAGCTGATATAGGGCAGCACTACTCTTTCCTCTCCCACTAACCTCCTGCTCCTGAAAGCCTCAAGTAGGTTCAAACAGACCAAAACAAAAGCAAAGCAAGTCTGCTCTTCCAAATATGACACCCAACAACACAAGGCAAACAGTCCTTGAAACAGYCCCCAAACGGGGATTAACAACAAGGGTATTTGATCTTTCAATCTTTCCTAACAGATTCTGTCGTTATCTCCCTTCCCCCCACCTTTTGATCCCTTACTTGTCGAGTTTAAAAATTGTTTCATGGTTTCAAACTAGTTTTGATAGCCAAAATCCAGCCCCTTCCTCTGGCATCCATTACAGTCATTGCCTTTATGTACACAGTGAGAGGGGTGATTTATGAAGGCTCCTGGAAAAAAAAAAAACGTTATTTTGGAGATATTGTACATGTTGTTGATTATCATGAACAATTTCCAAGGAGGAGGTGTGGAGAAGGAAAAAAAAAAAAAAAGGGAGAAAAAAGCTGTCCATCTTTGTGATTTTCAGCTCTTTCAAAAAGCACAAAAGAATAGAAAAGCACCCTGGTGTGTGGTTAAGATAACTACAAAGGATCTATTCTTACCAGGTTTCTTCAGTAAGATGCAGAGTGCTTTGATTGCATTTCTTAGCCTTGTTAATCTGACAGATATTGAAAGATAATTTGGAACAGCCAAAAGAACTAACTCATACACGCTATATCCAGATGTTTTATTAGATTCTTAACAGCTATCAAAGCTTTCTTTAAATACTAGGAGATTGCATTTTATGCAGCTAACAGTGCACGTATACAGAAGAGAGGGAAGGAAGACAAAGAGGCCCATTTAGAAAAGTTTAAAAAGTAGTATTTATGCCCTCCAACATGGGCAAAGAGAAACTCCTCCCACCCCTTTGCTTCTGCCTAATCATGTTTGAAAACTAATAGCATCAATATTCCTAATTAGCAGCTAGGCCCTCGCAGGCAGGTCACATCAGCACTGGCTGCTCCCTGACAATGCCCAGGTCCCAAAGACAAGAGACACTTGAATGAAGAATACTCACAGTTTGCTGACAGCAAAGAACCACGTGCACCTGGCAAACAAGAGACATTCAGAGAAATCAGGAGCAGAGGCAGAGAACAAGCAGGGGCAGCAGTTTGAATTGTGTGTTTGGGAAATGAGATGCTGTGCAGCTCAGAACTTGGCCACTGACTCTTGTTGCCACAGTTGGGACTCTGACCAGTTCCTGATAAAGAAGCTTCGTGTCCTGGCTCTTCTGCTTTGCTGTCATCATCGGATAAGCTAAGGTAGGTATTCATCCCCTTATAAGACAAGTGGACAATCATAAAATAGACCACTTCCATCCCAGATGGATGACAACCTTCAGGGCGACAAAGAGTGTTGGTAGGAAATCTTCCGTAGTAGAAAAACAAGACAACTTGCAATGCATACAAAAATGTGACGAGTATCAAGCACAAACAAACCCACCTTGCCAGAGGTCACAGCTGAAGATCTGTTGCTGAAGTGGTGCAGTTCCCTCCTAAGTACACCAGGGCAATCAAACAGTTCCCAATAAAAGTGGACACCACCACRGAGAAAAGGATCCCCTGGGAACGTTGGATGAGGCTATATTTGCTTGTGGCTGTGTGCAATAGGGTAAAACCTCGGGAAGATACCAGGATGTAACGTATTGCAACATCAGGTTCAGACGACTCGCTAGCATAAAGAAAAGTACCGGACCAAAGGGTTCTAGTTTTGCCTACCGTAATCTGAACTGAAAAGGGCATTTGCRCTAAGAGTTTGTACTCTGGCTAGTAGTGCCCAAAGACATATCTGATGGCAACTAAGGTCAAACAGAGCCTCAGCATCACTCCCAACATAAAGGCAGCCACGTGAACACAGTCGCTAGGATCTCCATACCCCAACACCTACATTGAAAGTTATACATAAATTAAATTTCCCTTTAATTCTCAGAGGCGTTCTCCATGTTACACAGACTATAATCATGCAGTTTTAAATAAAAGATTTTTCCTCCACTGCTTTTGGAATCCAACTATGGCAACACAAGTCTCGTTCCCACACTGGGAATTCCTGTCCCATCCTTTCCCTTCTCATGAAGGTTCAGTAAGAAGAAACCGTGTCTGTAGAAACTGTGTCTGTCCTCAACACCCATCTATCAGCAGCTGTAAAGAGCAATGCAACCTTTCCTCCCATGGCTGAGTTCCCACCAGTGGGAATACAAGATCCACAAGAGCTTTTGATAACAATATGAAGCATAACACAGAAACCGAGACCTTCGTGAGCTCATGAGACAGCAGATCTGGTGTTATCTGAAGTTGTTCAGAAAAGTTTCAATTATTTACATAAAAGTAAAGATGACAGATGTGCTTGTAAAGATAGCATCTGAAAAAATGAACTATTAGAAAAACATACTCTTTAAAAGACCTTTATTTTGGTTGCAGTTACAATTCTGAAGTCCATTTATGCTTACAGTTAAATTGTTCCCAAATAAAAATTCATAGCTCACCACAGACAGTGCATTCTCTATCAACCTAGTGTACAAGAACTTTATAAAATACAGATTAAGTGCCTTTTTGCCTGTACACTCTTCAGATTAGTGCACTGACATTAATTAAAAAGGCAAATAGATTAATTGGCAAAAGAAGTGTTCAGTTACATTTCTAATATATTAGTAAAAAAATGGCACAAAAAGGAAAAAGGTCATTTTAAAGTCTATAAGCATTATCAAACTTCTTAAGCAGTTTAAATCAGTTCAACCAATTATGAATTTATTTTCATATACCCTGTTGAACTTGGAATTTACCTCATAATCTTCTTTTTCCCAGGTGTATAGAAACACCTTACATACAACTTCAGACCTGCTCACAGAATCTGAAACAAGGTCGTTTCAGAACAGTGACATCCAAGTGTAGTTAGGAAGTCGGGAATTTCTATTCTTCCCAGTAAATCAGACAATTCACAGACTAGAAAGTATTTTCATCTAGCCAATCTCCTTGATGCATGCGTCATATGTGAAGGTATCAGGTGTGTACACATATTAAACACATTATTTCTCCAAWGCAAGAACTAAAAGAGGAAATCCACGCTCACAAGTTACACCACCCAGCCCTACCTACCTTTGCAGGAGGCTTCCAGGCATAGTGACACTTAACGCCACGTAAAGAGACAGATGAAGCGTCTGAGAAGTTTTAGGTGAACTGAAGGCCTACTCGGAAAGCTTCAGTTTCAAAAGAGAGAAATCACACCAACTTCAGCAACCTACATTTTATTTGTGAGCCACCCATAACAAACGGGCAGGGGGGTGGGCCAGAAGGAAACAAGATAGAAAGACATTACTAGCTTAAAAATGAAGTCCAAGATATGAATTTGTTGCCCCAAGCAACAATTCAGGAGTTTGTTTTGGCAGCAATATTTAGCAACACCCCCAAAGACAACTGCCCCATTTTCAAAACAAGTTATCAGCATTTTTGATTAGCCCCCTAAATATAAAACTCTCTCATGGTTTAAACAGAGCAGTTTATGATGTTGACTGATTTTACTGATAAGAAGCACTCACATCCAAGAAGGCAGGCAGTTATACCAACTGGAGCACTGAGAATGCTACTTCTCAGGTCAAAACAAAGTCTCATTAAAAAAAAGCAAATGTGATGAAGTACAGAACCATTATTTTACTCAGCTCCACAATGAGAAAATAGTGACTGTAGAAATTTCCTCTCATAATTTAAATACCAATCACAATGCTTTCTCCGGAGACTTATCTTGTGAGCAGCCATATGATAACTCCAATAATCAACGCTCCAATAGCAAGTATAAAAATGAGGATGCACATTTTCTTTCGTGACTTTTGCTGCCAAAAGAGGGGGAAAAAAAAAAAGTTGTTTGAAAGTAGTACCATAGTATCAGAAGAATAGTCAAATGCATTTTAAAAGCTGTCCTTACAAACAACAATAAGTCATACAAAGTTGTTTGAGAGCACAGTAATTAATTCATGAATTAAATTTAAGGCTATAAAACTCAACAAAACAATTTAATGAGTACTTTTTAGCATACATAGTAAACTCAGGAAAGAGAATGCAGAAGCCTTGACAATGAATAAAAGTAATTAGAATCCTTTTGGGGGGAGGAGGAGAAAAAAATACGTAGAAGCATGTGGTAATTTTTTTTTTTTCCATTTACCAAAAGTAAATGGACAGAGGTAAATGGACATGCAGTTTGTAAGGCAGAGGAAGCAGGAATGGTCTTCTGGAAAAAAATCATTTAAAGACTATTAATATACACACAGAAGGGGACAAAGGATTGTCATGCTAGACTTCTGGAAGACTGACTCTGCATTCATTAATAGGGTAATTAAAAAAAAAAAAAGGCAGACCTGAATAGATACTTAATAACACTGATGCCATTACAATTCTGTACAAGTCATGAGCATATCCAGAACTTCTAGATCTATTGCTTCAGATACTAGAACAACTAAGATGAGGAGCAGGTTGTCTTTTTTTTTTTTTTTTTTTCCAATCTGTGGCAGCAGGAAAGGGAATAATCTTTTATTCCTTTTGGAGTGAAGGCCCTTTACCAGTGAGTTCCACAGGTTTTTGCTGATATCAAAGGGATTCTAACCCTCAAATCTTGGGATTTTAGCCCMCAGCTACAGAAGCAAAGCCAGGCTTTGCTCTACTTGGCAGATGTCCTTCTGGTTATTTCTTCTTCAGGACAGATGGCCTGTTTGTTTGTTTTTCCTGCAGAACCACATCTGTCTCTATTCTTCCAAGGAACAGACTGTTCTCCATCCCGCTGCCACCCAGACTACTAGGCTTCTCCTTTCAGCTTTCTCCTAGTTTTGGTAAGCTTCACTGTCACTTCTCCCACTATCAGCTCTTCCTTTGGATGTTCCATCGTTTTACTTGCTACAAGTCTTTACAGAGCCCCTTTCATGTTTTATATGCTACCAGACACTCTTCTTTTAGATCTTATACTCTTTAGCTCCTTTTTCATCCTGAAGAGCACCTCTTACCAACATCATGCTAAAGTAAAACACTAAGCCTGCCCAGGACTGGACTAAAGACATTGAGTTGCTTTTTTCTCCTACGACTGTCATTCCTACGAGCACTAAAGCAACAGCAGTTGCTTTGCRCCAAGTGCAAGGGAATGAGAGAAGAGCCTGACTTTGCCCCTCGAGCTCTCTAAACATACCCCACGTGGCAAACTGCTGGTGCAGACCCATCCAAGCACACATCTGTATCCTTTTCTGCCCAAGATAAAAAGATTTTTGTGCTATTCTATTTTAAATTTCTATCAAAAAAATAATATGTTGCACGGAAAATTCTTGCTATTCTTTTTTATGAAACTTGTCAGTAACAAAAGAGGAACTATCGTTCATATTTCATAATGGGTTGTGCCAATTAATACCATCTGGAAAGCAATTTCAGGATGCCTCCACCCCTTATTCCCAAGCTCTTCCGAGATGAGCAGGCAATCCTTCCATCCTCCTGGCATCAATTGACTGGCCTGGCTACTCACAGAACACATAAGAAGATTTAAAAATCTGAAAACTAACTTCCACTAAAGAAGGAGGATTTATTACTAATAAGATTATTTCTAATCAGTCAGTGTCAGGAAAAAAAAAGCCATTAAAAGGTCTTAAAAAGGCTTTTCTAACARTTTGAAGATTAAAATATGTTCTAGGATCAGTGTAGTAATCGACAGAAGCAGAACTTACATAACTTTAAGAAGATTTTGCTTATATATACACAACAAGAAATGACGCTACTTAGCAACACCTTCGGAAAGCTTCCGAGCCTACATTCTCTAGTCCTCCAATATGATCTTTAGAGGCTCTTTCTCCACATAGAGTCATTTTTTTCCTTCTTCAATTGTTGAGAAGGGCTTTTTTGTTTGTTTGTTTTTTTAACTAAGGGTAAAACTCCTAGTGCTGTGAAACACTATGCTGGAAAACGCTATGCAGAATCTGAACTGCAAAGAAAAGTGAGAGACAGGGCTACTGAAAAAGGACAGTTACAAAGAGCCAGCAGTTGGCATTGACATTACCTGGTAGTTAGCTGCTCTTGCCAGCTGCTGGTTTGCCTGTTGRACATGCACATCTGCATTTTCCACATTGGCTTCTATGCTGTCTTTATTATAAAAAGAAAGATTTCATATTTTCATTAGTTATAGCCCAAGCAAAGGGTTGGAATGCTGAAATTCACTTGAGAACATCTGTAGTAGTCGCCCCTCCAAATCCTTCCTTCCCTCTCCTCCCTCCACCCCACTAAGTTCACCATTTTTATCAAGTACATCATATTGTATGTTATGGTAGTTTGTCCTTTCTCATACTCAAGATTTTGCACAGGCTTCAGTTAACTGATTGAACCAAAGACTAAGTATCTGACTTTATATGTCTGTAAGAGCTCCCCCGTTTCTAGAAGGAGGACTGAGCCTCAGAAACAGACTGATGTAGAAACTCTCTCTCAAGAAGCTTCCTTGTCCTCTGACTTGCTACCTACTACCTCTGCTCAGAGAAAATGCTCCAAGCCAAGAACTCAGGGGAAACAGACACCTGAAAAGCTCCAAGAGCCTGGAATACAGCTTGCTGTTTAATCCAGAGGCACAGATGTTTTTCCTGGAAAAATCTTATGAGATCTTGAACATATTATGTTCAAGTGCACTGGACAACTGCGTGGCTTAGCAGCAGACTCAGAAAACATATTTTGGGATCATACTTAATGAAAGAATAAGCTTGTCTGTTTGGAGGGTAGAAAAGGATTCTGATCTGGCTCTGCATACATATACCATTAGTCGAAATAGCAAAATTCCCTAAATCATTTTTGTTTGTTTTCTCCTTTTTCTTTTCTCCTCATAAAAGTGATATTTCTCAACTTAAGTTTTTACTTTTTTAATGCCTTCTACCATGTGTAAGATGGGAAGAAAACAAAATGTACCACCCATTCACACACTGCATTTTTCAGAGATCCTTTGTAAGTGAAATGGGAACTTCAGACTGTGTCATTCCTTTGTTCTACCCCTTCACCCAATGTGTTCTTCCTTTAAACTCTACAAAAATACTATTTAACAACTAATCAAAAACTATTTTTAAATATATTTTATACACATTAGAAACTACTTTAAGCTACATTTTAAACTCACTCATTCTATCCTCCTCACTCTATCCCTACTGAACAGAGCCAGTTTGCCCATTAATAGGTTGCATCTGACTTGCTTTTGCACTGACCTTCTTGTTACAGCAAAATTTCCAACAAAAGTTTCACATTGCTGCTTTCCACAGAGGTAAGGTTTTATTATTTGGAAATAATTTAGAACAAATAAATACCAAGTAAGACATAGCTCATGGGTCAAGGTGAAAGAGTGATTTTCTTTCCTTCCCTATATTACAGCATTTCTGTGATGCTTTAACAACTTGACAGAGAAYAACTAAGTTGAACTTACCTATCACATCACCTTGTTCATGAATCATCATTCCTAAATCTTTGAAAATTTCATTGATATCCATAATATCTGCCTGTAAGGAAAAGAACCATCACATAAATTGGCATAACCTTTTACAGAACATGCATCCGTGATTCTTCATCATAAGGAAAAATAATCTTAATATTTGGAAATTTTTGTACTTTTTGTACTTAGCGTTGTACTTTTGTACTTAACTTGTATAAACGTTAACTTTTATGAAGTTAAGTTTATCATAATCAAACAGACTGAAGATGAATATGTGCACAAAATAAACTTTGTATCATAACACAAAACAGTATCTCTCATATTGGTGAGCATCTCTCATATTGCATTCATACACTTAGTTTAGCTGAAYTCATTTTAAATTTAGCTAGCACAAAACTACTTCTGAAATACCCTTATTTCAGCTTAGGGTCAGACTCATGCCAATTTAGCTTAAAAGCTATCACTTGGCACTAAGTGAATAAAAGCATACGCAGAAAGTGTTTTGTATTAGTTTTAGTACATCTCTCAAATTAAATACACACGCTTTATAACGAGCACAGTTTACAGAGATGATCACTGTAACATGGAGCGAGGCTATTGCACTGATATTATATTACACCATTACCATCTGGCTCTGATGAAGTGACAGATGTCAGGGTTACCATTGAGCATATGATCTCTTTCTTAACTGAGGACTGATATCTGCTTCGTTTGCTGTMTGATAGAGCATGGGTGGCAGGGAGAGGTTAGCACCCAACTCATACATAGAGCAGAACAGATTTTGCTGTTCTGCAGGAGGATTTCCCTCCTCTGCAGAGGATTTCCCGCTAATTTTTTCCCAAGATTTTTCTTGTTGGTGATAGCGATATAAATTCCAGATTTGTGAAAGTATTTTTTTGAGCCAAAGTGTCTTTATAAGAGGATTTCACCATACTGAAGACAATTATTTGTGTACTTTAAGTCTTTAGGCTAAATGATTTTAAATTTTTGATAAGATTTTAATTACAAAAGCTTAAATGAAACAGGGAATCTTCATTTCCAGAGGAAGTGTATAAAAAACAAAAACCTCCTTACAAAAGAAATGTCAAACTAAATTTGGAAATATGTGGTAGGGAAGGTGTGATTTGCTTAATTTATAATTACCCTTTAAAAAAGTTACATAACATGATAAGTGTCTGAGAAATCATGAGATGTATTTTTCCTTGTAAACACATCAGTGATTTCAAATTCCTTAACTGAGTYAGTGAAATTAAATGTAGTAGCAAAACACAGCTTTCCTACATGAAATATGCCTAGAAATCTCATGCATCAGGCATTGGCAATGTTTRTAGATTAAGCAATAAGAAAATCAACAAAATACAAAAAGCTCCCTTAGGATTATAGGGAATTTCTGCAACTAACGCCTACACCAGTAAGATCAGTTCTTCCTTGGAAAGATCAGAAGCATAAGTTTGGATCTGTTCTAAAGCCCTGGGCACCAATCACACAAACCTCAAGCTGCCTAATGGAAGATTCTCTCTCCTCGATGAGGCGCAGGTCATCTTCTGTAATCTCCTCATCTTGCACTTGTGCTTGAGGTTGACTGTTGAACAATAAGACACCACAACTGAGCAATCACAACAAGAAATAACTCAGGAGAAAAAGCATAAGATAACAAACTCTGTTATCAGCTAAAAAAAAATGCACATTTTTACCTTTGTGTGTCCAGTTATCAGAGAAGCTATCAGAGATTTTGATATAGAAAACTGCTGCTTCATAACAGTGTTCCATACAACCCTCAAGTAGCTACTTGGAAACTCCTTGTATGAACATACAAAGTTATTCCGAATTATAAACTGCAAGAATTAAACTCATCTGAGACAAAAGTAAGATATCAATGACAATGGAATCTGAGGCTGAGATGCAGCTCTTGGGCACTCTGAAGGAACAGGAGATCAAGCAAAGATSCTTTCATCACAGCTTAATAGTTTTACTCTATCTATAGGTTGGACTGTGTTTACCTACTTAAGTGTCACAAAGCCCACATATGGGTTAGGGGCAGCTTAAAGAGATGAGTCACAGTGGAGTATGGAAAGGAGGAGAACATGTGAACAGCTGTTGCTTCTTCCCACTGATGCTACCAAGAAGCCTCCTCCTCACACCTGCCCCATAGAAGGGAGCTCAACTGAACAACCTGTCCCTATTCCCTTCAGGAAAAGGTAACTGGCCAGGAAAAGCAGCGGCTGGTTTCCCTTAAGGCCATTTGCTGTGCTGAGTTAAACTCGAACCTATTAACAGGTGCAGCTTACCTGTCCCAAGAGACAAGTGTTCCTTCTTTGTAGCTGTCTTCAGGAACACCACCCTGCGGGATTCGTGTTTGGGGAAGGAGAAAAAGAAAAGAAGAAAGGAGAGGGGAGAAAAAAAAAAAAAAAGAGGAGTTTTATGGCCCTGAAAGAAGCACTGTCAGCATTCCTATAATGAGTCAATATTGCAAAGTTAAAATTAAGTAAACTGAAACATGATTTAACATGTTCTCAGCCTAATTTTGTTTTATGCATGCAAAAAGCCAAAGTACAAGCAAAAATATTCAGCTTAGTAACTGCTTGTTAGAATTTATATGTACAGCAACATGTATTTGCACAGTGTAAAAAAAAAAAAAAAAAAAAAAAAAGATATGCTAGCAAGGAAAAGCTCAGCATTTCAAACTCCTCGGCACTTCTCCACTTCAATAACATATAGAGAACTGTCGAATGAATCTTCTCTGTAGGATGTTTGTTGTTTTGTAATGCCCCGGAAAAGTATTTCTAGATGCACTAAAAACTCCTTTTGCAAGATTAAGGTACAGAGTTCCTGATTTTGTGCAAAAACAAAACAAAACAAATGGAAAAATTGTTTTCAGGGGGCTGCATTACATTTTAATTAAGCCTTCACCACGAAATGGTTCACCTATGCACAGAAGTACGTAAAGAAAACTACTACAGTTATAATCAGATTGTACAAGCTCTGCAGTATTTGGAGGCAGATGCGAGCTCCTTTCAGCAGCATCAAGGAAAAAGAGTTTGACAGCAAATATTAGCAATGGCACTGGAAACAGTATACAAACAACACACTTTCTGATACTTACAGATACCCTGGAGCTGGCTCTGACTCTGGCTACAAAGTCTTTTTCTTTCTCAGCAGCTTGCCTTTGGAGTCTTTGGAAATTTGTTAATGCTGTAGTGAACTCTCCCACAAGCCGATCTTTCTGTATTTTTCTTTGACGCTATAGGATAAAAAAGTTTTACTGAGTTAAAGAAGCTCAGRATATTCAAGGTTTTGCCATCTTCAGGCTGCTGAGTGCTGACTAAATTATACACTCCTTTTAAATAGTAGTAAGGGAAAACAGTCCGCACAACCATTTGAAAGTGCAGGGACAAACCTTCTTTCCTTCAAGGATCACATAGTTCTGCTACAATTTAGGAGACTTAATGAGAAAATTAATGTATTAAGTTTCATTAAATTGATGAAAATGAGCAATGAGCAGGAACAGGTCAAACAATGCTCTATAAGCTGATACATGGGAAGCCTCTACTTTCTTCACTAGCTATTTCTTATTAAATGAATTCATCACTTAAGTGTGAAATATTTTGATGCAGTGAATTCTAAAGTATTTAAAACAAACTAACGGAGAGGTGGAGAAATATATTCCACATGTCTTTTTAAATACATGTTGGAAAGATAAATTAATGCTTACATAAACTGCACTTAGCAGTAGGCTCACACTCCCTCTCAAGCATTAAGAACTGTTACAGAAATACCTGTAGGGGAAAAACAATCCACAAACTTTATTTTTTGAGAAAGTTCTAGGGAAGGCAGGAGGAATATGGGGCACTCGGGAGTGACTCCATTTATTTCCCATGTGTATACATTGCAACAAACCTTCCTTCCAAATCTGTGAAAGCCTATACTTTGTAATTTGTCAGTCTGATATTTTTGCTTTTCCTTGAGAGGTATCCTTGATGAAATCTGTTATATCAAATCCAAAAGTGAAACATCTCACAATCAGCTTTTCAACTCCAGGATCAAGAGACAGAGAAACCATAAAATACATTTTGATTGAGCTGGAGATTACACGCCAAGGCTAGGCTTAAACAACAACACAAGTCTACTATTTGACAGACTGAGCACGTGTGGTACATGGACTGCCTTTTGAATTCTGTATTTCAGGATAATTTGTTTTCCTAAAGACTCTTTGGTAAGAAGCTACAGACCAGACAAGTTGTTTGAGGGGCAAAAACCTGCCTCCACATCTGGTATGCTGTTACTGTTCCCTTATTTAAACTACAGATTGTGCTGGGATAAGAAACCACAGAATGGCAGCCAGGACTGCACTAATGACAACAGGCACTTTGCTTGTTACTTCCCACTCAGATTTCACCACAGAAAGAGGCAGCCCAATGACTGTACAAGTCATTATAGCAGGAACTTCTCTCTGCTAGCCCTCCAAGAAGGGAATAAGAATGGGATAAAACTTTGTGCCTACACTGATCTGAGTTATGCAGAACAGACTTAGTGGGCAAATTACTTGGATGGTGTGTGAGGGGGGCTGGCCCCCAGCCAGGCAGGCGGGTTCAGCCCCCAGCTCCAGCCCCTGGAAGCAGTCGGAGCGTCCGCTGAGTCAGGGAGGCTTGGCAGCACTGGGGCAGGTTACAGGGAACCAACTACCTGCACGCCAAGGCACAAGGCACTGCCTTAATTCCTGCCGTTTGAGTCAGACTGCTGCTTTTCTCATATATAGAAACAACTTTGGAACAAGTCTCTGCTGCAACAAAACGCACTTGTGCTATAACAGGCTGCCATTAAGAAAACGCAGCTCTGAGAAAGCCTGGTGAGGAGCACAAAAACAGGCACACGAAACTGAGCTCACTCAGATACTACATGAGTCAACACGACAGTCAAATTAGCCGTGGTCTTTGGTGGTTTTATACCTGTTCAGTTGTAGCGGGCAAAGATCCAAACTCTTTAATATATTTGTCAGTCTCTTTGGCCAGTTGATTCGTATACTGCTGCTTCTGTTGCCTAAAATCAAATGCAAAGTTGTATTAGAGACTGCTGGGCTATTTTGTTTAAGTTTCACTAACATRTGTAAAAGCAGGAGCATCAAATGTTTCACTAAGGAGCACAACCCCATCTTCATTCCATCCTTCACCATAAAGGCTGCACAACAGCCGATCGCTCCACGTGCTAGGGGGACCAACACCAGAGACTGCAAGTTCCTAATGGAACAGCACAAGTAATCCCAGGCTTCCATTCACCCTCTTTTAAAGAGATTTTTGTATTATTTAACAGTAAGTTTCTAGTTATTCTGAATATCTAAACATACTTTTCCCTTGCTTTCTTGAGGCTATCAATCTCAAAATTTGAGGAATGCCTGCTTATTTTTGATAAAACACAGTTCAGAATAACTGTAGAAAAAGACCAAGTTTTTCTGTGAGGAAGAAAATACTCTGCCCATGAAAAAAAATAATTCATGATAACTACTGGCAAGCTTATGCAAAGAGATAGATAATTTGCAATTATGAAGTAACTGAAAACTTAATGAATTATTAGTTGTTTACCAATGAAGGTAACAGTTATTTTAAACTGTTAAAATTTAAAAAATTATTTTAAAAACATCCTTGCCTTTAAAAACACTGCCATTCCTGGTTCTTCCCATTTCTTCCATTATCACACATTCCTTAACTTCATACATTTTTTTTTTCCCCCGGGATAACTCAAACTGTTCCCTTCCTTCCTCACTCTCCTYTCCAACGTGCATAAGCAGGTTTTATCTGGAAAGTTATTAGCARTCAAAATCAGCCCTGAAAATAATCAAATAACTCTTCCAGATGCATATTAGTGTAAAAGGAAGGGCCAAATGTTCCGACAAAGGAAAGAGAGACAGAGGAAAACCAAGGAAATTCACCCCACGTATTATCTTCCTGAAGAGAGCGCAATGCGTCCCACTAGTTCCCAGCTCTTTTAGGTGTAAATTGAAGCCTAAATCCCGCCTAGCCAGGGCACAAACTGCGTGTGCCAATTTTCGCCCATTCACAGCCCCTGGTGGGACATCCGCCGTGCCCACACCTCCCCCTGCCATTTGGGGGCTACCCCCCAGCCACAGCCACACTAAAAACTGTCAGCTTTCTCATCCACAGAGTCAGCACGACACGTATACTTGCCATGAACGTACAGTGTGGAGATTGAAGAGCTAAAGCAGTTTGATTAAAAATAACTAAATAAATAGCACAGGTCCAACAGACTGTGCTGCGGAGTGGAGAGCAGCTGACTGTCTTGGCTAGTGACATGCTATAGAGGTGCCTTTCTGTCATCTGACCTATAGCACTAGCCATTCAACCTTCCTTTTCACAGAATCACAGAATATTCAAGGTTGGAAGGGACCTCTAGAGATCATCTAGTCCAACCTTCCTGCTCMAGCAGGGACACCCAGAGCACAGGGCGGCATCCAGGCGGGTTTTGAAGACCTCCAGAGAAGGAGACTCCACAGCCTCCCTGGGCAGCCTGTGCCAGGGCTCTGTCACCCTCACAGTGAGGAAGTTCCTCCTCACCTGGAGATGGAACTGCCGGTGTTGCAGCTTGCACCCATTGCCCCTTGTCCTGTCACTGGCCACYGCTGGGATACATACACACAATGATACATAGCTAGAGACAGCGGGAGTGCGATGCTGCAGAGAGCTTCAGTTTAAAGCCAGACGCCACTGAATTATGCCCCAAAAGCTCTATGAGCTTTGGCAGCTTTAATTTTGCAATGCCTGACTTTGCAAACTTAATATTCTCTCTCAATACAGCGTGTTTATACATGTTAGCTTATTAATAACACAAAAATTAATAGCACGTGTGTATAGAATTTTCTCTTGGGATAAGTGCCTTGAGTTTTAACACTGTAAACCCTAGTATTTCCCCCTCCTTCACTACTATCTTTTTAAAGTGCATGAGTATATTAACTCAAATTCAGGCCTAGTCAACAAKAAACTAATAAAATACATTTTTCACCATTTCATTTTTCAAGCATTTATGGCATATGTTCACACTATAATGTTGCCTCTTACATAGCTTTCCTCATTACAAAGACATTCCCCTTTCTCCTTCAGTATCACATCTCACGGACCCCCCAAAACTTTACCCTGGGAAACTTGATAAATACAGATTTGAAGATTGGACTGGGTGGGAGTGGGGGGTTATTTCGCTTTGGTTTTATTTCTTCATTTGTTTTTAATTGTGGCCTTGGCTTCTGATCCTGACACTCTCCCCTTGCTGACATACAACATATATTCTTCAGAAATACTGATCACACTGCAGGCACAAAGACTACCCAGGGTTAATTTTCAAAAAGACACCTCAACATTTAATGTTCAAGTGTTTCTTTATACTTGCCTTTCTCAACAAGATCAAGTACTCTGCTTAAGAGCAACAAAAGGCCTATCACCTACCAGGAGGTTGTTTACAATGCAATCAAATTAAAGGTTTTCSTGTGAAGTACTCACAGCTGCTGTCTCAGCTCAGGCGTGTCTTGTGGTGTCCCAAGCTGATGGAGAATTCTTTGTATTTCGGCAGCTGTTTGCAAAGAGGAAGAGAAATTTTACTGCGGCACAGACCTTTTTCTCTTAGTTTTATGCATTTTTGCTAGAGAATTCTAGAGCCATTCAAGCATAACCTACTGCAAAGACTCCATTAAAATGTCTGTTAAAAAGTCCAATTAAAAAGCCCCAAAACAGTCTAAGAACAGTTTTTACCAAACCAAAAACAAAGCCCAGGACTTCCTAAAAGTGCATGAACGCATTCAAGTTTCCAGGCAGAAATGGGCAATTTAAAGACTAAGAGAGAATGTTACTCTGATATGTATAAAGCCCACCTTTTAATAATTATGCATATTTATGAGCTGCACAAATTTTAATCCAGTTTAAACATTCTTAAACACAACGTTCTGAAGAGACATTTCAGAAAGTGCATTAATGAAGAGAGCAAAGTATATAAGAACAAAAATCCTAGTATCTAAACTTAAAGTTTGAGACATTTGTTCTAAATACCTAGATATATTTTTTACTGTAAGATACATGTAAATCTCACCAGTATTTTGTATTTTATGAAATAAACAAGTTTCAAACTGCAAAAAGTGGCAGTTCACCTGAGCCCTACTTTCAGCTTAGTATATTTACTGTCACATGGGAAAGCAAGGGGACAAACAGGCAGATGTTGCAGGACACAGAGTTCACCACACAGCAAAACTGACATTCACGGTGTGCTCACGGTGTCTTAAGCCTCTCGTGTCTTCCATCAGGGATGGATAACATGCAAAATAGCTTATTTTTGCTCAACCCCATCAGGAGCAGACCCATCTCCCCTGCCTTTCTGGGGCTCTCTCCAGGCAGACTGGAGCACCACCCAGGCAGCATCATCCCTGGCACTGTGGTAGCCACCCGGAGCCTCTTTACTAGCACACAATAAATAACACATTTTTTTTTCCTTCCCTCTTTCCACAAATACATTCAAATTTGTAATAAAAGACATCCTGCAGTAATGTTGAAAACCAGGAAAAAACAATTTTTTCATACATCACAGAACAGATTTAAGAGAATTTACTTCAGTAAGAATAAGAAACTTATCTGTAACTTTGGTTAAGCACTTGGAAAAAAAATGGAATTCCTCAGGCCATGCTCTAATGTTTGTTTCATAAGAACCCTCCAGCGTATTTAGTTATAGTGGATTTTATAGACTGCTTTAGGTTACACTGCAGTGCTGACTACTGCTACAACCAATTCCCTCCATATGCAGCCAAGATAACGAAGCTACTAAAAAAAAAAAGTCAAAATACTTCAATTACCATGAAGTCAAAATATCAAATACGCATGCAATCAAAATCAATTATTTCAAGATGAAAGACTCRGGAGAATTAAGAGGGCCTAAGTTGCTACAAAAATTACTTAGGAGAACATCAGGGCAAGCTGAATTTCACACCTCTTGCGTTTGAATTAAGCTGAAAAGCAGATGTAGACACACCAAGCAGAAATCCTTGAATCCCTCCAACAGTCTCCGCCTGCCGACCAGTTTCGGGCAGGCCGGGGCTTTGGAGGCGGCTGTGCCCAGGACCCGGGCGAGGGGCTGAGCTCTGGGGCACGCGCTCCTCGTCGCCCTTGCTGCGAAATAACCCCCCGTGGTGACCGTGCCTCCCTCTGCCCACACTAATGCATGGTTTTAAAGCAAAGGCGGGAAAAAAGCATCTTAACAGTTGCCTATGTTGTCTTTTGAATTCAGCAAGTCTCGATTCATTGACTTTAACACCTACAGAACTCAAAGCAAACCATTCTGAGGCTTCATCTGTGCAGAGACACCCTCCCAAGGCGTTTAAAGAGCCCAGGTGCTCAGTAATTCCTCCCCAAASGCAAAATGCCTCTGTATGTATTCTGCAGGAGGAAAAAAAAAGCTTCAAGCGCTCCCTTAACAGCTATTTCACAGATAGAAACATTACCAGTGTCTTACTGCCCCCTAGAGATACTTAACTGCAAGTGAAAGAGTGGAAATGCAAGGTTTGGGTTGTAAATAAAAACTATTTTTGAAAAATACTCTGAAACAACACCTGTACTTAAAGCATTTTCATTTCAAACTAAATATGTATCCTATTTCCAAAACAGAGCAACACAAGTAGGTAACAGAAAGGAAATGAAAAGCCAGCAGAGCATAACTGGTCAGCTACACAGCTCTAGGAGGCAGAGGGAAGTTCACCCCGGTTCAAGTCTCGTGACTCAGAACTCAAAAGGAAGTAAAACACGTTTTACCAAGAACTTTGTGAATAAGCATCAATATAGGAAAGTGCTAAAAGGCTTAGAAACCTCAGGGGAAAAAAAATCAAGGACTGAATGGACAGAATTTTTTCTGTCTCCCTTTAATTCAGCATTTCCCACTTGAGCTTTTCCTATTAAGGACAGTATTTACAAAAAGAAGCATTTCTCCTTTCATTTGTTAACTCATAAGAGAGATGCTGCCCTGAAAAAAAAAAAAAAAAAAAAAAAAAAAAAAAAAAAAAAAAAAAAAAAAAAAAAAAAAAAAAAAAAAAGAGAGAGAGTGGTAAAACTAGATAACTAGATCTTGGCAGACAGTTGATCCCCTGCCATGGGAAAGGCAAAAGCCTGGTATTTTGTACAGTAAGTGGCCGGCACAATGCAGGAGCTAAGGAAGCTCTGCTCCTGAACCCGCTCACAGGACATTTGCGAGCCAGGGCAGTTCATCCTTCGTGCTCTTGTAGAGCTCAAGAAGCCTCTGTGGGCTTCCTCCATGACCCACTGCCCTGCTTGGGACATAAGTGGGTTTGGGATCTTGGGGCTGCAGCACGCAGAACTCCTGGAAAGCTCGGGTCACTTTCACAGGGATGTGGCCACAAAGCCTCCAGCTTCTCTGTGGGCCATGGTATCAATAACGCTGCTGCCTCCCTACCCTGGTGTGAACAGACTCTCCCTCCCGGGTCCCGAGTGCAGGGTGGTGCACGAAGGTGTCTGGCTGCTATCTGGCTGCCTTTCCACTTATCAGGAAGGCTCAAGGGTCCCAGAGAGATAGGACAGGCACAGGCAGAAATCTCCAAGTGGAGATTTATGGCTCCATGCCATAAATACCCTGGCAACAGTCAGAGACCAAAGGTCTGCGCAGAGTTTTGCCTGGTTTCTAAGGCTATCTCACTCCTCACGGTCTTCTTCGCACCACTTCCTCATTCTTCTCGCTTCCCGTGACTCGGGGCGGAGACAAGGAGAGCTGGGGTGGATAAGTAAAASTGCTCCTCAAAGGCCTCTCTATCCTTCCAGACATTCCCAAGTCTATACGAGAGCCAGTGTGGAACCTGTGGATGATTTGAATCCATTTCCCTGCAAAGCCCCGGAGCCAGGGCACGCRGGCCTGGCTGCTGGGCCTCTCCTGGGAGCTGCACAAGTGCAGGCACTACGGGAGCACAGGCAGCCTCCACAGGCACATCCCAACTCGTCTCCGGCCTGCCCTGCAGGTCAAGCCACACGCTGGCACACAGGAAGGGGGACGAGCGGCCGGGAGGAGACCTGGAGCTTCCCAAGAGGGAAAGGCCCCTGCCCAACTCCGGCAGYGCGGCATGCAGGGCACAAGGTGCCACGCTGTGGAAACACCTTTTCCTCCCAAGCAACTGGTCTCTCAGGTGCAAAAGAGCAGCACTTCACTCTTTTCCACCTGGAAGCAAGTCCTGCATCAGGAAGAAGCAAAAGCATATTAGTAACCAGATATTTCATTTCTCTTCACAGCAGGCCTGTTCTACACCTCATAACACATAAGGATCAGCTGAGGAAAACCACTCAGCTCCTGTCTCGGGCCAGTCACATGCTCAGGGGCAGGTTGGGCACGGTTAATGATGAGCCACAGGGACAACTGCCACAAAACCTGCATTCTTGCTGAGGAAGTTAGTTAGGAGTCAGCTCAGGTTTATTTTTACTAGGCCAAACAGTCATTCTGTTTATCAACAGTGGAAGCTTCACCCTCTAGTTAGAGGGAACACAACAGGGCCCAGGGAAAAAAAAAAAAAAAAAAAACCACCATTATTACAGCCTCATAGAAAAGGTTTCATTTTCTCTACAGAAGTTATAGGTGCAGAGAGACCTTAAGAATGAAAATAGTACATTTTCTAAAAGGTAGGAATATTGGGGAAACTTGTTCCTGCCAGATCTGTAATGTATACTATTTATTCCGTAGATTAAAAAATAAAATTTCACATATTGTATCACCCACTGTTCTTGTTTAACAGCTGCCTTTTAGTTGTCTGTRGAAGAGGAAAGTTGTATCTCCTTTCTCATCTTCCTTTGTTTTTGAGCTGTTTCTGCAAAASCTGTCACATCACCTCAGCCAAAGCAGTGTGGATGTAGCTGGTTGTGGGGCTTCGTGAACTTAAAAATATTTAAGAGTACACAGGAAGTTTCACACTTAAAAAATTCCCAATAAAATAAAGCCCAAAATATAAMCACTCCCTACCATTAAGAGTAACAAACAAAGCTCTCCCTAATGAAGAATTACTAATTGTGCAGGCTGTGACACCCAAGGAGTGGCATAAGAAAAATACCTGAACACYTGAGTCAAATCCTAGTTTCTGAGAGACAAAGAACCAAGAGGAGGGAACAGAAGAAGGGATTCAGAGACATCCACCTTGCCTGGCAGGACTCAGGGATAAACAAGCATCGTATTCACTCCTAGCATGAGACAAGGGAAACTGAGGCTGTCCTTAGTTTGGGCCAATATGTCCGGTTACAAACAAGGCTTTCCTTGGCTACTTTTAAGACTTCAGGTAACCAATCTTCCCATCTCAATCTCCCTTCTGCTTCAAGTCTGACAACAAACCCTTTAAATCCTCAACTGGCTGTGACCATCTTAAACTCCCTGCAGTTTTATAGCTGGAAAGCRAGGTGCAAAGGCCTCAATGTATAGCATAGAACAGGAAGGTTTTCCAGCCAGGAACCTCACTGCCTGCTTGACTGCATTATGGCTGCGCAGCAGCGGTTTCCTGCAGTCCCAGCAAGATCATTGCACAATTTCATGGAATTGCTGCGTGGTGCTTC